CACCCCTTTTCTAAGAAATCAGTCACCTTTAACGGGTTTCTTGTCTCACGATGGATCTTCATTTGGCTGTGGTTTTCAGTCTTATTTTATGTACTCACTTTTTCCTTCGAGGTTCTGCCCAACATCCAAATGACTACGGAACYTATCGCCATTTTATCGTTGTGTCAAATCAAGGTAATGATACCGAATCTTGCTTGAATTCCACATCAAAGGAAACTTCTATTCAAAATCCCTGCAAGACGCTCGACCACGCAATCAGTGTCACAATAAAAAATGCCACCGTCATTATCCTGGAACCAGGAGTGTACTATTTATYCACCAATGCTACTTTCGAGCATGTGTCAGACTTTGGATTATCAGGGAACGGAAGTTTTGCCAATGTCTTGATCAACTGCTCTACAAATGCGAGTTTTACATTTGTTCGTAGTGGAGACATAAAGATTCGTGGAATTTCGTTTTATCGTTGCGGAAGTCTGCATAAGAGTACGGTTGGCTCAGCGTTTGCARAAATTCATAAAGATCACGTTCCATTTTATGCTGGAATGTTCTTGGCCTACGTGAAAAATGTGACCATGGAAGACTGCAAAATCMYCGAGAGCCCAGGAATTGGTTTATTAATGTATGATGTTGGAGGTGAAGTCAACATCGTGAGGTCAATTTTCAGCAGCAACTCGCCTGACCCGGATAATATTTGTTCACGCAATCTATCATATACACGAGCAGGAGGGGGAGTTTATGTGGAGTTTACTTTCGAAGGTGCTCTTCCTCCATTCGGAACAAACAATACTGAACAACTTGCCTATCAGAACGACAACAATTATATAATTGAAGGATGTACTTTTGAAGAAAACTTGGCCCCCGAACAATGTTTTGAGAACAAGATTGAGTTCCCTTCGGGAAATGATCATATGCCATTCGGTCGTGGGGGAGGGTTTTCACTATTTGTCAAGGGTACCACCATGAACAATAACCTAGTGATTCAAAATTGCGCATTCAAAAACAATCAAGCTGTTTGGGGAGCCGGATTTTTTGTGGAATTCCAAGACAAAACACAGAACAATTCCTTGTCTATTACTGGATGTAGGTTTTTAGGCAACTCTAAAAGCACCGCTGGAGGAGCTGTAAGGTCGGGGTTTGCTATTTGGCCCGGCAAAGAAAAATTTTATCCTAACAAAATTCTTCACGAAAATTGTACCTACGAAAATAACATGGCAATATTTGGAGGGGGTGTTTCCCACTATGGACCATATTTTCACCCAGTTGATACAGAAGATAACTGTCGAAAGGTCATTTTTAGAAGGTGCAGGTGGACGAACAACAAAGCAACTCTAGGCTCAGCTATTGGGCTTTCAACTGCTACAATGGATCTAGCTTTGAATAATATTAACCCTAACTTCAAAGAACCCATTCTTCCTTACATTGTTTGCCTTGAAAACTGCAGTCTTATCGGTAATGAGATCATACGAACTGAAGACGACTTTGTTATTGGTCAGGGCGCGCTTTATACGTACTCCGTTCCCGTCTTTCTTCAAGGATCAACCAAGTTTGACTCGAACAAACAAACAGCTCTGGTTTTAGATTCGGCAATTCTTAAAGTTTTCGGTAATGCATCATTTACGAATAACAGTGGTCTTCAAGGAGGTGCTGTTGGCATGTATGGCATGTCTATCATTGATTTGATGCCGGCTTCAAATATGTATTTCAAAGGTAACAAGGCAACTGGTAAGGGGGGCGCAATTTACGTAAACGTCGGCGGTCCACCAGTTGTCGCCTTCAATACAACCGAACTTAATACCCATGGATGTTTTCTCTCGTATAACGACACAATCACACTTGAACATGTTAACCAGTGGGACACGAATCTCACGTTTGAATCAAACGATGCGTCAGATGGTGGAGGGAAATCCATTTACGCAACCACGTTACAAGGCTGTCGCRAAGTGGGAGAKRAAAGGATTAACAATCAYTCYCTSCAGTGGRACTTTGTGAAGTATATAAACGAACATGGCGGTCAAGGAAACATTTCAGAAGAAATATCAACAGATCCTATTAAAATAGAGATCATTGAGAAGGAATGGGAACGATCCCCAGGTGAGGAATTTTCTGCATCTATTAAACTAATTGATGAAAAAGGAAGTCTCGTGCAAGGTGTTGTAAACCTATCAATAGATTCTTCAGATCCTAATGATGCTAGACTAGGTACCTCTTCACCACTACTACTGATAAAAAACATAGAACACAATGATACTGTAGTGTCTGGTCTGGTGTTGAATGGGAAGAATGGTGGCATGTTCAATTTGACTTTAAGAACGGTCAGTGGACAAACCATTAGTAMAACGAATAACAAAACCCTGAGACTCTCCGACTGTAACCAAGGATTTCATATAAACGAAGCAGAAGGCGAATGTATTTGCTCGAAAAAACAGCTGATTGGGATTTCTAGGTGCAGTGATGACAGGAAAACAGTGTACTTGAAGACGGGCTACTGGGGAGGTARTGTCCCTAATGGAACATTTGACACATACTCGTGTCCACACGGACATTGTAATAAAAMTACAACTAATACWRAAAAAAGAGACTTTCCACTTAAAAGAAATCAACTGTGTGCARAGAATAGAAATGCAAACATCCCMCTCTGTGGAGAATGTCTMTCGAATTATACCGTGCKTSTGGGAAGTGAARAATGTGTCGAAACGTCTCAAGAGTGCAGTGAGCAAAATACTTGGCTTTTATTAGTTTTCTTTTTAGTGATGCTGGTATTTGTGTTGCTGGTGCTCAAGATAAACCTCGACATCTTCACTGCTTATCTGAACTCGTGGCTGTACTCTTATCAGATAATGGGATACCTTTTGCAGACGAATACACAGCTCAATGATGATMMATTCATATCGTTTGTCATTGGACTTGCCAACTGGAGACTCCAAGGAGTTGGTATTTGTTTCTATCCTGGATTAACAAACTTCTACAAACTGGGCCTCAATTATATCCTTCCATTCTATATTCTTTTCCTTCTTTTGGTATTGTCTAGGGTAGCAAGGTGTTTTCCTCGTTKGTACATCGGCAGGAACGTATCCCACGCTCTGTGCAATCTGTTAGTGTTTTGCTATACTGACATCACCACAATATCCTTCAACATCCTTCATTACGTGAAGGTTGGTAGCAAATGGGTGTTGTATTCAGACGGGAATATCAACTTCTCTGACGACTGGAAAACACACTTGCCATTCACGATCCTTGCCATCATTTTACTGCTATTTGTGGCTCTCCTCCCTATCGTTCTGGTGTTTACACCTTGGTTCTCCGGGAAGTTTCCTTGTCTTAACGGATACCTATTATTYTTCGACATTTTCCAAAACTGTTTTGAAGACCAAGAGAAGCAGAGAAATAATCGTTGGTTTGCTGGCTTCTACTTCATATGCAGGATCTGGATTCTTCTTATGGCGTTGTTCCTTCCTCTTGGTCCGTTGAAGAGATCCATCCTGGAAGCCTCTTGTATCCTGATTTTGGGCATCTTTCTATATTTACAGCCCTACAATACAAGATACAATTGGCTGAATACTCTAGATGCTTTGCTGTTGACAAACCTTTGCCTCATCACCGTTTTCAGCTCAGCACTTAATAGTGACGCTCGTGATTCAACATTCCTAAGAWTACAGATCTTGGTCAATGTTCTGGCATACATTCCTTTAGTATATCTGATAACCTTGTGTTTGTTCCGAGGGGTTGCATACTTCAGGGACGACWCGAGGACACAAGGGGAAAACAGCAGCAGCTTGCTAAGTGATATCACCGAGCAAAGTCCCACGTCTGCAGACTTTACATAAAACTCTGAAATTYAACAGCTGTACGAATTAAGCTCAAGAGTACAAAGTCTTCTATAGTATCATGAGACTCTTGGAAGAACGACAACGTCGGCCGGAAACTAAACCTACTAAACTAAACTAAACCGGACCCAATTGCAATATATGTAAAAAAGTGGAATACTAACTTATCAGTCATGATTTAACGTTTGATAACWTTTGTGTTTGAATTGCTCTGATTTTATGCAATCGGCACCCTTATGATTATTAGGGTGTATTCAGAGGATCCTAGAGTCACGGTGGCTTCAAGACCATAGTACTTCAAAGTGGGAGGGAATAATGGACGGTGGTACCTCCTATTCCAAGAGAATGACTGTTATACAAAATGTGTTGTATTGGTCGGTGGAACTATTTTAATGGCTCATCATTTGGTTAATAAAATGGTTGGAATATAATTGAAATTGCTGTGCTCTGTTGTGTTGAGTCATAAAGCACGTGGGGATTGGCAGAACACTCGAGAAATGTCGAGAAGCACCGCCGCTATGCGCGGTCGTGCTGCTCCTAACACTTCTCTCGTGTTCTGCCAGCACCCGCGTGCTTTATAACTGCACACACCACGCGGGCGCGTTTTCTATTTCTTCACGATTCAGCTCTGTGAGCCAGTATAATATTATTTTAATTCTTTTGACAGTGCGCATTTGATCATGTTAACTCGTGTAAAATTGCGCAATAGAAGCATTAAATATCATTGTTAGCAATAAATAAATTCTTGTGGATGCGCATTTCATATTAACTCGTGTCAAATTGCGCAATAAAAACATGATTAAATATTATTATCATACTTATAATCAAAAACGTCTCCTTTAAAATGCACGTAAAAGTTTTTCTTAGTTTCCTGGTTACTCTGTCCTTGAAGAAGTGGTTTCGATGAATCATTATTTGGTCTAAAACAACACCGCAGACAGAATGACAGTTTGTTTAAGTAAGTCTCCTTGTTTGTGAGATTGGATAATCCCGATAAAAGAGCTTCTCTGATTCTTGCCGAGCAAAGACAAAAGAGTATTAAATTAGCAAATCCTYGGCCAGTGTTTCCTATTCCCTGTTGATGTAAAGCATGCATAAACTATTATTTAATTTGTTCAAACGTTTTGTGTGCATTGTTGATCGCATGTTCCTTCCAGCAGCTTTTTATTTCATCCAAAACTGATATTTATCTCTATCCAAACTTACGTCGTTCCTGATCCATTCCTCTCATCAATTCTCATCCTATTCTACCCATTCATCAAATCTCATCCCATTCTACCCATTCATCAAATCTCATCCCATTATACCCACCCATCAAATTTCATCCCATTCTATCAAGCCTTCTCTCCATATTTCACTCACTATAACTGATATATTACCAGGTCTTGTACCACTTTTCCATCCATCCCTCCCTCCCTCTTTCCCTC